ATCACTCGACCCTCAGGCCTTTGGCCTGCCCACCCACCCCCTGTGTTAGTGAGTGGATGGCATTGGGGTCCCACTGACTGATGCATTAGAGAACGCAGTTGGCCCCCGGTTTCCTTTTCTTTCGCCAGGGCAAGGGGCAAGAGGAGGCTAGCCCCCCTCGCCCGCGCGCGTCAGCGCCCCACCTGTCGGGGGAGCGAGCTGTGAATTAGGCGTACAACAGGAAGGCAGAAGTGAGCCGTAGCAGTATGTTGCGCACTAAAGACGAAGGTAAGAATGAGAAGCATATGTAGCGCACCAAAGACAAAGGTAAATAAAAGGTTGACGGCTCGCTCACTGGGTTCTTCTTCCACTGGGCATGAGAGACTGTTGAGGTCCCTCGGCCACATGGGCCCCCCCATGTGTTATGGGGCTTTGAAGGGACTGTGATAAGCTTGACTCGGACGGACAAGAGTTGCATGAGAGACTGCAAACGTAGTGAGTATGTAATAACAAGAACTATTCTCATGCCCACTCTCTGTCCCCCAAGTTCAGTGCACAGCATTGGACACCTAGCGAGACTCACTGGGTTCTTTCTTTCCACAGGGCTGTGGTGCAGGGGTTTCCCAGTCACTGGGTTCCTCTCTCTCTCTCTCTCTCTGTCTCTCTCTCTCTCCTGGGCATGGGGGACGGCCAAGTCCCTCGGGCAACATGCCCACCCAACTTATTGTTGGGCACGACGGAGTGAGTAACGAGTATAAATCACCAGAGGACTGATGCCATAAAGTGTACGATGACGCAACGGCGGTATGAAAGTCGCAGTTTGGCGCCAAGTAGTTCCCTCGTGCCGGCAGAGAAACTCTGTCTCCCTCTCTCTCTCTCTCAAGGTCTCTTTTTCTTACATGTACCCATGCACGCAAACCCAAAGAGAAAGAGAGCACAGGGCCACAGCGTCTGCTGCCGTTGGACAAAGTTTCGGTCGGTGGTGCATCTTAAACGTGTGAACAATGGCTGCGGGATCTTCTGGAGAGCCTCGACGAGGAAAGTGGGATGATACCTGGACACAAAACATTGGAAGCGCCGTCATAACTGGCAGATCTGTGCCATGTCCACCCAATAACCGTGCCGAACACATACTCAGATCGTCACCAGAAAGTGTTTCGCCCCGAGCCCTTGTACCACAGCTGGTACCTGCAATCAATCGGATGAACGAGCGAGTTGGTTGTGATATGATATCTCATGGTGGACACGTGCACCGAGGCTTCTGATTTGTACGAGCTGGGGTGCTTCTTGTGAATTTTGATGATTCTCATTCGGATTGTCAACATGCAAAATTGCGATGAGATCTTGAACAAGCCGATCGGACATGAAAACACCATCTATGCTGCAGGCAGCTGTTGTGCGACATTAACATCGCTCGGGAGTGACGGTAGGCCACGTATTCGCTTCATTACATCGTCATCCCACCCACATGCTTCTGCACCCTGGGCGTGCTGCAGGGCAAACTGCTCGTAAGCAGGGTTGGAACCGGCGGCGACCAACCAGCTGTGTCGGTGATCCTCCGGGTCGAAGTGCCCCACCAGGATGCTCTCTGCGGTCTCGTGGGTCATCGCTTTGCCTGAACATGGTGCTTTTGATCACATACATGGTTGACTCAATTCTGCGCAGTGCTTGCCGTGGCTGTTGTAGAGGCTGGAAAGATAGCATGTGAACCAACCATAGCAAGCAGTGGCAATGCTGGCAAGTCGTGGACCTGCAGCAACATCAATGTTCATATGTTCGTCGTCATTGTCGTGTTTGTATGGCTCCTTCCTGTGAGATTGCCGAGGCGAGGTGGTTGTTCCCACCGTTGCATTCGTGCAGATGTTTCCCATTTCTGGTCTTCAACACTGTCGCTGCAGTTGCCACGATCTACCGACGACGAAGATCATAGAGAATTTAGTCAGTGAGGCATCCGAGCCGAAACTCGAGCCAGTGCACCCGGCACGGCAATGGCGGTCGATGGTGGTCTGGCATAGGCTTTGGGTACAGGTGAGCCAACGTGCTCTCTTGCGTGGAACTGTACTGGATTTGCTGCGTGGCCAGGTCCGCAGGACCGGCTACGCATGAAGTGATCCAAAGCCTCTCTACCACGGGTCTACACGACATGGCATGCTATGCATACAAGCATATACAAGCCGAGCAAATCGCGGGACTGCATCTGCTTGTTCATCCTTGCTTCCGACAATGCCTGTGTGCTATGTTTCACAGCTAAGCAGGGTCCGCTTGCTCCGTATTCAAAAGAAGATTCTGACTGTTGATACCCTCGTAGCGTCGATTCTTCTCATTCTTCCTGATTGTTGGTTGCCGTGGCTGCTGAAAGTGCTTTTGGTTGTAGGCTGGCGGGAGTGCTGCGATGCTGCATGGTGGAGGTTCACTGTGGCAAGCATCAGCTGCTGGACGGCCTGGCTCGGCTTTGCAGCAGTGGCTCTGAATTCCAACGCCCGCTTTCCTCTCAAGCTAGAAATTGCCAAAGATCCTCACATCCACCATGTTCCAAACCATCCTAAACGCACTTGCGTAGGGTCAAGGACAGGACTCCTTTTTGTCCTCAGGCAACAAATGAACACTGGCTGGCGTCCTTACTTCGACTGTCTCCTGTCCTGTTCCGAGGAGGTGGTTGCAGCGAACTCTTTTCAGGAATTTGGCTCGTGGGGCCTGCTTTTAGTCTGAGAACGGGTGGCAGTGGGCGACAAAAAAGGCCCCGACAGTACAGCCTGGCTTTGGGACCATCCCACAAAATGCCCGCAGGGCCTCGGAAGCTCTCCAAAGGCTTTGCGGATGGCGTGGTTGGCCGCTCAATCTGCGAGTTGAGCATGTTCTGCTTCTGCAGCGCGCACCTTTGCTTACTCACGGGATTTGTTCGTCCAGGGTTGCGTGCTGGCGGTTAGCAGTGGTGGGTGTCTTGGTGGTGGTGACGGCGGCGGCGGCGAAGCAGCAGTATGTAGTTGTCTGCAACGCACACTTTCGCTTACTCACCGGATTTGTTCGTCCAGTGTTGCATGCTGGCGGCGGCGGCGGTGTCGTCGTAGAAATAGCAGTGGTAGTAGTAGTAGTAGTAGTAGTAGTAGCAGTAGTAGTAATAGTAGTAGCCGCCAGCCTGCTCATGTGACCCCCTTAACTGCGTTTATAGCACCAGAAGGCTACTACTTTTAGGGAGCAGGGCGACGATTGCTACTTTGGAAGAGCAAGCGGCGGAGCACCACTGGTACTTTAGGGGGCAGGGAGGGGACTATGACTAATACTACTGCTGCTACTACTACTACTACAACAACAACAACTACTACAATTACATCAAAGCCCAGCCAGGCCGGACCAAGCCAAGCCATTGAACTGGGGAACTCCATTGTAGCGAACAGAAAACCCTATCTAACAGGGAAACCCTATGTAGTAGAAGAGCCCCATCTAATAGAAAACCGCTATCCAATAAAAACCCCTATCTATAGGAAACTCGTATCTAATGGGGAACCCCTATCTAATGATAATGAAAATAAGAGGAAAACCAAATGTAATGCGAAAGACCGATTTAAGAGCGTGAAAACCGGATTTCAAGCTTTCAACAGAGCGGTGTCCACGAACAATCACTGAAACGGCTGTGCGACGGGGAAAAAGAGAAGAGCGTGAGGTCAAAGGAGCAGAGTAGTAGTAGTAGTAGTAGTAGTAGTAGTAGTAGTAGTAATAGTAGTAGTAGTAGTAGTAGTAGTAGTAGTAGTAGTCGTAGTAGTAAGTAGTAGTAGTAGTAGTAGTAGTAGTAGTAGTAGTAGTCGTAGTAGTAGTAGTAGTAGTAGTAGTAGTAATAGTAGTACCAGTAGTGATCGTAGTAGTCATAGCAGTAGTAGTAGTAGCAGTAGCAGTAGTAGTAGTAGTAGTAGTAGTAGTAATAATAGTACCAGTAGTGATCGTAGTAGTGATAGCAGTAGTAGTAGTAGTAGTAGTAGTAGTAGTAATAGTAGTAGTAGTAGTAGTGGTAGTAGTATAGTAGTAGTAGTAGTAGTAGTAGTATAGTAGTAGTATAGTGTATATATAGTATAAGTAACAAAGATAGATTACAATAGTAGGGTTTAGGGTTCAGGGTTTAGGGTTTAGGGTTTTAGGGTT